CTCCCCCTCCCTCATCAGCTCAAAGAGCAGTCAGGGTTCCCTGCCCTGTGGGAAGTCCAAGGTCCTCTCACCTCCATCCAGGTCTAGTAAGGTGAGCATCCAAACAGCATAGGCTCCCACAAAGCCAGTATGTGCAGTAGGATCAAAACCCAGTGCCATTGTTCTTGACTTCTCAGCAGTACCCATTGTCTGCTATGTTCAGCGAGTTCGGTTTTATCCCATGCTTTTTCAGACCCAGTCCAGCTGGCCTTGGTGCATTCCCGATAGAACATCCCCATTGTCTCAGTGTGTGGGTGCACCCCTCGCGGTCCTGAGTTCCTTTCTCGTGCTCTCTCTCCTTCTGCTCCTGATTTGGGCCTTGGGGTTTCAGTCCGGTGCTCCAATGTGGGACTCTGTCTCTGTCTCCTTTCATCGCCTGATGAAGGTTAATATCCAGGAGGATGCCTATATGTTTTTCTTTGGGTTCGCCTTTTTATTTAGCTTCTCTAGGATCAGGAATTCTATGCTCAATGTCCTTTATTTGTGGCTAGAAACCAATTATGAGTGAGTATATCCCATGTTCCTCTTTTTAGGTCTGGCTTACCTCACTCAGGATTGTGTTTTCTATTTCCGTCCATTTGCATGAAAAATTCAAGAAGTCATTGTTTTTTACTGCTGAGTAGTACTCTAATATGTATATATTCCATACTTTCTTCATCCACAAATTATTTGTTTTTATTACACAGAGGTCCCACAAACAAGGATAAACAAAAATCTGTTTATGTTTACTGGGTTATTGACTGTCAATATACGACTTATGCTAATTATTTTGTACATGGGGATTTTCTGTATCATTCCTCATAGCTGCATCCTGATCTACAACATCACACAGAAAACAGCGTTCAACTAAATACAGTCAATAAGAAAAGAGGTGAACACTGAGTTTTAAAAGATGACAGGGACGCTAAAGTGCTTTATGTCAGACTAAGAATTGCAGCACCTTATCTAGGCAGTGGTGGTGCACGTCTTTAATCCCAGAACTCCGGAGGCAGAGGCAGGAGGATCCCTGTGAGTTCTAGGTCAGCCTGGTCTACAAGAGCTAGTGCAGCATCTCAGTGTGGAAAGGTACGTGTACTTATTGCATTGTCCTTACAGCTGTGTAAATTATATCTGGAGAGATAAGGCCCTCAGAATCTTCATTTTCTCTGCTATTTATATCTGTGCTCCATCCATCAATAGATTCCAGAATACAGAACTTTTTAATCCTCTCCACTACCACCACAGGCTCTCAACTGGATTGTTCTAGCAACCTTGTAAATAGTTTCTAAATCTCTCTGGTTCTCTATAGTCCATCTCAGCACAGCAACTAGGCGATGCTTGAAAATCTGTCAGATACTGAAACTGGCATTATGCCTCAGTGAGTAAAAGCACTTGTTACAAGAAGCTGGTGACCTGACTTCGCTCCCTTGAAATCAGGGTGGAAGGAGAGACCAACTCTGGAAAGTTGTGCTCTGACTTCCACATGTGCACCATGGCATGCGCATGCCCCCCACATGTGCACACACATACACGCACATGCAGGCATGCACACATACAACAATAAATAAACTTTTAAAATAAATTAATAAAGCAACCACTACTTTGAGGAGTGGAGGCTTGTTCAAACCATACCACATGAGACTCTTCTTTCCAAACCCACCCACAGCCTCGTACACTAATGATTACCATATTGATAGGAAAGCCCTCCTTGGCACTTTCTGAGTTCCACACGATCTGACTCCCATTTTATTCTTCTATTCTCCTTTCCTCCCCTTTACTCTGAAGCTCAAGCACCATTGGTCTCTTTACTTTTGCTCAGATACCTGTCTCAGGCCCTTTGCACTATTCCATCTGTCTTGAACAGCTTTCCATAAGACACCACACTCCCCCCCCCCAGCACAGGTGTGCAGCTGAAGGCTACCCTTCCACAGGTTTGTGTGCTGTTCTCTGCCCCTATTTCTCTCCTGAGGAACTCAACAGCACTCTTCTTGTTCACCTTATATTTTGGTCTTACCTGTACAGGTTTTGTTTCCAGCACCGACACTATTGCCTAGCACACAGAACACACTCTGTTGGTTGAAAACAAACCTACATTAATGCAGATGAAGCAAGGAGATAATGCAGTGTCACACAATGAGAAACACTCAGTTTTGGTGGCGATTCCCTCCCTTCAAATCTAAGCCACTGACTTCCCGTGCTCTGCCTGTTTTTACGATTCATAGTTCCCGCACCAGATTATAAATGCCTACACATAACCTACTGCTGCACTGATTTCTTCAAATGGCCCCTCAGATGACTTCTACGTGAGATTAGGAGCTCAAGAGCTAAAGCCCAAAGCTGGCTCCTTCTGATTCTCTAGCATTACCTGAAAATAACTATGGAACAAAGCATGTCCATCCTAGGCTGCCACGGGCTCTTCTCCCTTTGACATTTTGAGAATACATTTTCATCTTCTGGTGAATGTGCCTTCTCTTTCAGGTGGAGTTAGAACAGCATTTTTCCACTCACAGTTTTCCACGGAAGTAACAGAAATAGTCCTTCATCTTTACCTCACTAACATCTTCCAAGGTCGAATCTCATGACCACAAAGATGGAAATCCTAAACAAAAGCGAATTCTTGGGAAAACCCATCACAAGGAAGAGGCAATATTCTGAAGCCCATGGGAGCAAGGGTAAGCTTGCATTAAATCTTGCTAGCTGTCTTGCCTTGCATAATAATTGGAGCAGCCATTTTTCTGCTAGACTTTAGAAATGCAGATTCGAATAATTCATTTTAAAGAAAATCAGAAAGTTATCTTTTTTTTCTCTGACTGCTTCCACCCTAAAATGTAACTCTGAGTTTAAAGTCCTTGAATGTTGTTTTGTGTAGAGACATTGGAGACAATTTCGTATATGGCATATTTGGTTTGTATAGCATTGAGTGGGAAAAAAGGGGATGAGGGCAGTGGGGAAATCCAGGGCAACTGAGTTCACAAAGGAGACTCTACTCTTAAAAAAAAAGGGATGTAGGCATGAAGAGGCAAGTCACATTCTGAACATGGTGATAAAATACATTCAGTGATGGAGGAAAGAAACCTGAAAACCATAGACTTCATCTTCCTCCTGTAGTATCGCTTTCTAGATTGCATTTTTAAGTTAGCAGTACATAATGGCTTTCATTAGGGCATTTCCATATGTGGGTGTCATATTTTGTTCTTATTTATCCATTCTCCCTACCTCTTACTGCACCTTTTCCTCCTGCGGAAGAGCCCCCCCTTCTATGTTCATGTCACATGATTTCATTACTCTTTTTTTTCTATCTCCCTTAGGATTCCTTTCTTCCCTCTTGTAGTCCCCTTTCTACTTTCAAAAGATTTCAATTTTTAAGCTAAATGAGATCTCATTCTATGTATTCTTGCCATTCCAGTCTTGGCCTCCCTCGGCCAATGGGCAAGCAGGCTGCTTCTGAGATGACTGTTGTCAGTACTACTGCAAGAAATATCAAAGTTCCAGTGTTTCCCCGACACAATGATTCCATCTGCTTTACAGACCTGTGCACCAGTGGGATTGCTGGGTCATATGTCACTTCTGCTTTTAATGTTTTAGGAACATCTATTCTGTTTTCCAGGAGAGCTTCATCATTTCATATGCCCACCAAGAGATATCCAAAGCAACAGATGTATAAGTTGCAACAGAATAATGCAAGAAACATGAAAAAGCAAAACAATATGACTTGTATAAAAAAAAAAATCAAGACGCATCATCTCCTGTACTCATCGATACCAGAATAGGCCAAATTCCAGGTGACGATTCCAAACGTTTTCTGTAAAAATGACCAGTGACCTGAAAAGGGATGTAAGCAAGATATAAGTCCAATCCATAGTCTGGAGAAGAAAGCTATCAGCACAGAGGACAAAGGACAAAATTAGCAGTGAGTATAGAAAGTAACCAGCAACACTGAAGAAAAGTCAGCACAGTAACTAAGATTCTGAAGAACATTAAAAATATTAGTAATAAGAAAATAATGAGTCAAACAAAAACAGTAAAAATCATAATTAATAGACTCAACAAATTAGAAGGGATAACAGGCATGGTAGATAAAGCTGATGAAATACTACATTCAAATATCAGTAAGAAAAAGAAGAACCATGACCACAAAGCCCAAGAACTTTGGGGTATGCTCAAAAGACTGAATACCAGAATCCAAAAGACGGGAGAAATTCAAGAAAGCACTAAAGACACAGAGAGTCTATTCACTGAAGTTATAGCAGAAAATCCCCCAAATCTAGAGGGAAAAATGGGCATTTCAAACACTTAACAAAGCATTTAAACCCCAGACACAACTAAATAAGAACCTCTCCCTGATACACTATAATCAGGATGTTAGGGATACAAAACAAGGTTAAGAGCTGTAAAGAAAAAGTATTAATTGACTTACAAAGGCAGAAGCATAAGAATGACATCATACCTCTCATCAGCAACCCTTAAACCATGGATTTCTGAAAGTAAGTAACTGCCAGTCCAGAGTATTACACCCAGCAAAGCTGACTTTTACAATTGATGATTAAGAACATTTCAAGATGAGCACAAACTGAGACCATTCATGACTACCAAGTCAGCAATACATAAAATATTTAAAGGAATATATACACAGAGAAGGAATCATATATCAAACAGTGGGCCCAGGAATGGTAACCGGAGAGCTAAAATGACATACAGAAGATCCAACATTGCAAACCACCAAAGCCCTGAAATTAACAGAAGAGAAAGAAAAAAATAATGTAAAGGCACTAGAATGCAACATACAAAATTTTAGGAATTAGTAAGTAAATTTCCACAATTAATACATGTGCAAATAAACTCAGTTAACCAATAAACAACATAGACTGGTTGAATCCATTAAAGAACAACATCCTGTTATTTTTAAGAAATATACCCCACTGGTAAAGACATCTATAGACTGGAAAACAGTATGCCAAAAGTGAGCAAAAACCAAAACCAAGTGGCCATAGCTTTTGGTATTTGACACAGGAGACTACAGACCAATATTAGCCCGAAGAGAAACATATTAATAACTGGAACAATGCATCAAGAAGATATGACAATTTTGTGTATGCATGAGCCAAACATTAGGATTTCTAATTTCAAAACACAAACATTAAATAGGCATAAACAAATGGGTATTAATACAATGACAGTAGATAAATTTAATGTTCCATTCTTATCTCTAGATAGATCAAGCTAAAAAACAACAACTATACAATAAGTCAATTAGACTTATCAGTTATCTGAAGCACATCTCATGCAAAGAAATGGAACACATACTTTTCTCAAAAGCCCATGGAACTGCATCAAAAGTAGATCATATTCTACAAATCAAATCATCATAAACACAAAAGAAGCAAGATATCTTATATCCTAGGATATAAAACAACAGCAATCAATGACAATAAATGAAGCCATAATTTAAAAGCCTCCCAATGATGAAAAGTCCAGAACCAAATAAATTCACTGCAAAGTTATACCAAATCTTTAAAGAAGAGCTAACACTGATGATCCTAAAACTGTTCCATACAATAAAAGAAGAAACACTATGAAACTTATTCTACAAAACCAGCATTACCCTAATAGAGAACCTGGATAAGGACACAACAAAGAATACAATAGATCATTTTCCCTGATCGACATAAATGTAAAAACTCTTAAATGAAAGTCAACAACATATTAAGTTAAATACATTATGATCAAGTTGTTTTCATTTCATCAGTGGAATTTTGATTCAACATACATAAAATATTATGTACTACTGAGCATACAAATAGACTTAAGGAAATAATCATATGATCAATTCAAGCCATGCAGAAAATGCTTTTAACAAAGTTCAACATTCTAAAAGAACATCATCACACTGTTAAAACTAGAAATTATTCCCAGTAATATAAGGAATATACTGCAACATAATAGGAATTATATCTGACAAAGCCATAACCAATATCATACTAAATGATAAATAGCTCAGAATTTTCTCTGAAATTTGTAATGAGGCAAGCACGCCCACTTTCTCCACTCTTCTACTCTTATTAAGAGAAATTATTTAAAGGAATGCAAGTAAGAAAGGAAGGCATGAAGGTATCCCTGTGAGCAGATGGCATCATCTCTAAGACTTGAAGACTCCACTAGCAAATATTTATACCTGGCAAATACTTTCAGCAAAGTAGTGATGTAAGATGTCCTTCTATATATGTGTTGCTTTTATTGGTTAATGAATAAAGCTGTTTTTGACAATGGCTTAACAGAGTAAATCCAGGTGGAAAATCTGAACAGAGATGAGAGAGAGAGAGAGAGAGAGAGAGAGAGAGAGAGAGAGAGAGAGAAGGCAGAATTCAGGAGATTCCATGTAGCTCCCGAAGGAGAAAGTTGTCAGAATAGTACCATAAACCACAGCCTTGTGGCAATACATAGATTAGTAGAAATGGGTTAATTTAAGATGAAAGAGCTAGCTAAGAATAGGTCTGAGTCATTGGCCAAATAGTGTTGTAATTAATATAGACTGCATGATTATTTGGGTCTGAGCAGCTGGGAAACAAAAGCACAGTCTCTGTTTACAAAGTAGCATGCAAAACCCAGAGCTTTTCTATATGCCAATAATAAACTCACCTAGAAAGACGTTAGAGGGCAGGGATTCCATTCCTAATAGCTTCAACACTAAAAAAGAAAAAAAAATACCCAGGAATAAACCTATCCAAGAAGGCAGAAGACCTGTAAAGGGAAAACTTGAAGACAATGAAGAATTAAACTGAATGGGACACTAGAAAATAAAAATGTCTCCATGGTCATGGATAAGCAGAATTAAGATAGTGAAACTGCCGTAGTTTTAAAAGTAATAAACTTCCATCCCCACATATCAATGACATTCTCCACAAAACTTGAAGCAGTTATTCCTAAAGTTTATATGGAAGCATGAAATGACCTTAGCAGAACGTCCAATAGCAGTGATAAGAACGTACTCAATTTCAAAATACACTATAGAGCCATGGACAAAAAAGAAAAGCATAGTACTCATAAGAATATGTAAAGGATAATAGAAGATAATTGAGGACCCATAAATAAATTCACACAGTGATAGCTACCATTTTTTTTTGACAAAGATGGCAAGATATATTAGACAAAGCTATCTCTTTAAAGTTTGTGGGAAAATTAAATTCCCAAGCACAAGAATGAGACTGACCCTTATCTTTCACTCTATACAAAAAAAAAGAATTAAAAATGCATCAAAGATTGATTCTTGACCATATTTGCTAAGATAAAGTGAGAAATGGATCAAAGTCCCTAATGTAAGACAGGGAACCTGAAACTGCTATTAGAAAACAAAGATAAAATACTATAAGACATAGTGATAGACATGGATTTCTGAACAAGATTCCAACAGCATAGGAAACAATTGAGAGGTGAAATTTTACATGTGATAGGATATACATGAAAGTAGGTGTAGTGTTTGTGTATCCGGTCAGGGCGATGAATAACCAGACCAGCTTAAGAACAACAGTTATATTTTTTAATAATTGAAAAAAGGGGAAACTCACACTAACAGAGTGAGAGGTCCGAAATCTGAAATGGTCTGGTGAGCACAGCATAGAGAGTGCACACATCTATCTACCCTGTTTTTCTACCTGGGCTCCACGGGGCCACACCCTAGTCAGATGTGATTGGCTGAGCTTCCCCATCAAGTAGGGAACTTTTGGATACCATCTTGAAATTACCATCAGAAATATAAGTCTACTAAATGTATAAAAAATTTTCTTGCCAAGTATACAACAGATAGTATATTAATATCAAAGATATAAGAACTGCAAAATTAAACATCAAAAAAATATTCAGACAGTGAGTGAGCTAATTAACTAAATAAAATTGTCAAAAGAAATACAAGTAGCTAATAAATGCCTTAAAAGGCATAAAACATTCTCATCCATTAGAGAAATCCAAATTAAGTCTACTGAGGCTTGATGTGCCCTGTCTGGTTGATATCCATGTGAGGCCTATCCTATTCTGAAAGAAACTTAGATGTAGTTGATGGGGGCGGGGGGCATAGAAGAGGTAAGAAGAGGGATTTGGAAGAGAGGAGGGAGGGGAAACTGTGTCCAGGATGTAAAAACAAATCATGAAAAGGAAACAAATACTACAAAAAGTACCCAAAGAGATAGGAAACAAATGACAACAAATGCTTAGAAAGAGAACAATTATATTCACCGTACAGTGCAACTGTGGAAATAAGTATAGAGTTTCTTTAAAAAAAAAAAAAAACTGAGACTAGAACTACATATGATTACACATGTCTCTTAGGCATATACCTCAAAGGCTCTTACATTAACACACTACAAAAGTACCTGAACTGAAGTGGGAGTGATTTCTTATTAATAAAGAAACTGCCTAAGCCCCTTGATAGGCCAACCCTTAGGTGGGTGGAGTAAACAGAACAGAATGCTGGGAAAAAGAAGCTTAGTGGAGGAGTCGCCATGATTTTCCCACTCCAGACAGATGCAGGTTAAGATCTTTTCTGGTAAGCCACCT